ACTCCATTTTTTCCAGTAACATTACGGAGTCGCACCCCCCGATATATTTACATCGCCATGTTAATACAAGCCATGTATTATGTTCCACATATCAGAACGGCCTTTTCTCGTATAGTGTCTGACCATCGTGACATGGAGAATTTACAGCCTTTCTGGGAAGCGATGGCGAGGATGGAAATGGGTGTTCAACGAGATATCCATTTAGATGACCTACTACAGGAACACTTGACAAGCGAAAACGATGAAAATGCTATGGTCAAGGATATCAAGGAAACAGTCGCTGAATTTTATTCCCAATTCGCTACAGAGATGTCCGGACCTTCTCATGCATTCCCATCAAGTTTACTCATTTCCCAAATCTGGCAACCTCCTTCGTTAGCTCGTTCTTCATTCAGTTCCAACACCAGCATGTGGGTGGACGAGAGGTCTTTGGCTGAAACAGGGATCACGCAAGACTATCCATTGATTCCCATCACCTCGAATATCAATTCTGAAGAAAATTCTCTGTTATCATATCTACATGAACTTACTTGGTTCAGAAAGTTGCAGGTCGCGGCAGATGTCCTAGTATTCTCCATCAGCCATGAGGAGGGCCCGCCTACCCCTTCCATCTACAGGTCAACGCCTACTACCAGTAGTACGAATGGAAAGGGTACGAGCTCTGGGGGTACTAGCAACACCGCTGGGAAACTCAATAACTCTGCTCCATCTCAGAAATACCCCTTACAATTTCCGGCTCAGCTCTATGTCGATCCTTTCATGCTCGACAATCTTGACATCGCCAAAATACAAAAAGAGTCTCAAATTAAAATGGAAACTAGCGTTCGTGACATAGAAAAGAAGATATCGGCGTTGGGTGGCGGCACAGTGAGTGGATATTCCCTTCATTCCATACTATTTGAATGTAAATGTTGGCAAATTTCTTTAGAATAAGCTACCCATCAAGAATTTACAAATGTCAATCAAGTATTATCAAGAAATAATTGCGAACGAGGGCACCCAAGAACAGAAGGATCTGAATAAGGCCACCCTAGAGGCGTTAGAGGCGGTTTTAGACAGGGTTGAGAAAGAGATAGAAGGTAAATATTCATTATAACCAACGTTATTTACTACAAAATACTTCCAGAGAAGAAAGATGAGCTGTCGAGGACGAAGAAGGAGATAACAGAACTTTACGAGTTGACGGCCTTAAAGAAGATGCCGGTGCGTATCAACGACAAATTTACTTCCTATAGAATCGCAATTAACGATTACCATAGTACGAGTTATGTGCCGTATTGATGTGGGATGGGGTCTATGGAAGGACTCATGTATATTCTTATGTGAAGGCAAAAGACGGGAATTGGTACAAGATAGTCGATTCATCAGCAACTCAGGTACGTAAGGCTCACTATCAATGAACACAAAAGGTGAAAAATTGGCAGGTCACTGAGGAAACGGTGCTTAACGATTCGAGTGGCCTTCATCTCACTGCTGGGCCATTCATGCTTTTCTATAGTTCACTGGAAAATTCTACATCTTTCGACACAATAAGCCAAGAAGCAGCTCAAGAAGGACTCACACGTCCATTATCGAAAGAGACTCGTTCGCTTTTACAAAAGCAGTTCTCTGAATGGAGCAAGGAGGTCAGAGAAATCGTTCGCCGAGCAAATAGCGAATTCCGTACACAATTAGGAAATGAACAGCTGGTGGATGAAGACGGTCGTCTCGTAAAACGGAGTGAGGATTCCGGCTCCGATTCGCCCACGAAAACATTGTGGCCGGATCCGTTGCATTTCCTTCATATTATTGACGAGGAAAAGGAGATGGTTTACGATTCCGACCCGGAGGAGATGAATATGGAGGATATTACAGGATCGCAGTCTCATGAAGCCGCTTCATCTCGTCGTAATTCATCCAAGGGATTGTGGGATCTCACTACTAATAATGAGACCGTCAAGGACGACACAGGCCCCGGATGGGTCCCTCAGGGAGACCCTAATATGACCTGGGAAGAGGCCTTGACGAAGGAGAGCCCAAAACAGACGAATTGGGACGGATGGGGTTCCCAGAACGCCACAGGGGGTAATAAAATAGAGGTTCAAGTAACCCGTACCGTCGAAACTAATTCCACAGAAGTTGGTGGTACCCAATCCACCTCACCATCTACTTAATGGAAGACATACAGATATAGCCTATGATGTATAGATATGATTTATTGAGAGGATTAATTATATAATGCACGACCCTGGAAAGGTTGATGTATACATAGCTAGGTTGTTTGCGTGGTAATGGTAGGGTCAAACCAATGGATAGGTGTGTATGGCCCTAATCTCTCCTCACCAAACCAAAATGGTCGTAAAGTGGAGGGTAGCCGTATACCTACGGGTTGTCCCGCATCATTCAAAACTACACCATTCTCTAGCAATGCGATAATCAATCTCGGAATGGCAGCCGCGGTCCCATTTAGTGTGTGCGCAAATGGCAAGGCTTTGTTCTTGAGTTCCAGCTGGCCATCTGCGTTAGAAGTTACGACAGGACGATATACAATATGGAGCCGACGTGATTGGAAGTCGAGGCAATTGGAAGTAGAAGATATCTGAGGGACGAGTCAGTATTAGTGACCATGGTCATGAAAGGATCTCTACCTCGCCCCATCCACCTCGTCCCGGCATCCACGCCTCGATATCATACTTGCGGTAGGCTGCATGGCCCAACTCTTCGGTCGGCATATCAAGGACCCTTGTTGAGCTGTGAGGAGGTGTGTCTAGATGACGACAATAAGACGTACCGGAAAGGGAATCCCAATCCCTCAAATATCTGGATCTGGAGCTGTCTAATTTCTTCCATCATAGCCTCACTCTGCTTTTGTTCTGTGAGAGCAAAGAGTTCCACCTTGGTGAACTGATGCACGCGATAGAGACCTCGTGTCATTGCACCCCTTGATCCAGCTTCTGAACGGAATGCATGACCAACACCGACCAGTCTTTGGGGTAGCTCCTTTTCAAAGAATGTCTTGTGAGTAAACATTCCAGCGAGAGGAATCTCTGCTGTCCCGGTCAACACTAGATCATTCGAGGTCTCTTCAAGGTGATAGAGATGGTTGACCTTTTTGCCATTGACATCAACCGCGTCCCGAGGTGAGAACCCACATCTACTTGCAATATCCGCTTTGACTACGTCTGGTGTCGATATAGGTGTATAACCATGCTTGATAGCAGTCGAGAGTGAATAGTTTATCAATGCCTGCTCCAACAGTGCTGCAGCTCCTCGAAGGAAATACCAAAATGACCCGGTCGTAGTGGCTGCCTCTTCGAATCTAATAATGTCCAATTGCTTTGCAATAGTCCAGTGGTCCCTCCTGATGTCGGCTTGCAAAGGCTCTGGACCGTGCTTGGACAAGACATTGGCCAAGGCCTCCGGACCGATAGGGGAATTTGGATGCGTTATGTTGGGTATCTGAAGTCCCAGTTCCAAAAGAGTAGCTTCGGTGGCGTCAGCCAGTGGTTCTTGGACGGCCAAAAAGTTCTTGAGCTCTGCTGCTGTATTGATGGCTTGTCGTCTCTCCTGTGGGTTTTGGGTGGATTTGATCTTCTTCCCGATGATGTTTTGCTCTGTGCGAGCCTGGATAACTTCTGTCCTTAATTCCATATATCTTTTGTGGACTTCTTTCAGTTCCTCGACAAGGCCTTGCCCTTTGGGAATTTTCCTATTCCTGAGATTCTGTGCATGATAATCCGCATTTTCCGCAATCCCTTTGAAGTCTAGTCTTGGTTTTTCGATGACAGACTTTGCAATGTCTGGTCGTTGAGAGATTTTCCGCGTATGCGTCAAGTTCCTAGCATTCGACAATCGTTTCGCTATTCCGTGATTTCAAGTCTCGTTAGTAATTCTATGAAAGAATTATATTTATACGAACCAGACAAAGAGTTGATGGTAGCCGTAGGTGGGTTATGCCGGCTGAACAGCATTGCCCTGGCCTTTGCTGCCACCAACATCCCAGAGATCCCTCGATAAATCTTGGATAAATTCTGGGTCATGTCATACCAACCCGTAATTGATGATGGGGATACCGAAGAGCTTGAAGCACTTGCGTCTAATTCTGGTCATAACGTAGTTGGGTATGTTTCCCGGTCACGAACTTCCTCCGTACCACAGCAGGCTGACAGTTGGTGATCCCCCACTCTCGTTTTTCACTACATCATATTCTTTGGCTGAATCTAACGACAAATCATTCGCAATTCGACGGATGTGCGGCGATGTTGTCCCCAAAAAGAACACGATCTTTATATGCCTTAACGCCACGTGAAGCCGCAAAGGGTATCGCCAGCAGAATCGTCTATAGTCAATACTATATCTTTCTGTACCTCGCTCTCGCCGCTTTATCAACTACAACGGTCATTCTCAGCCTTGCAGATGGTTGCCCTGGAACGACTTTTTATATCCTGGAATTCATTGTCAATGCGGCAATGATTGCCGAAGTATCGATACGCTTTGTTGCATTTGGAAAAGTGAGTTTTATTATCATTCATCGTCTGTTTGCTAATCCTATCTGCTCCTTTTCCATAGCAATTCTGGAAGTCACCCTTCAATGTGCTCGATTTGGGTCTCACATGCCTATGTGTCATCACTCTCTTGGTCTTGTTCTTCTCTGGCTGTAATGATCTCAGTAAAGAAGAAGAATTGCTTGATACGTTTCTACTCGTGGCCCGAAACGTACTGCAGTTTGGACGGCTTGCCACTGTGATGCGAAGGTACGGAACGAACCAAGCATGTCATCACCCCATTTAACCTTCTATTATACTATAGATCCGGACGTTCCATCTTTGCGCGCCCCAAGCCCATCGATTTGAATGCACCGCGAGCCAACCGCCTGGATATAGATTTATCCGATGAAGAAGCAGAGATTGGTTACGGTTCATCACACGTAGAGTTTGATGCAGACTTGGACAGTACCCCACACATTCGTGCACCACCCCCACCCCGAAATACAACCAAAACAGCACGACCACCACCGCCGGGAGAGAACGCCTGGGGACGGGCATGAAGATGGTCCAAGTCTACTCGATATAGTAATTTCTCTTTATACTTGTATTTATCTCATATGAAAAGCGTAATCGATCTCGTTGCAAGGAGGATCTGGCCATATATCCTAGCCAAATGGATTCATAGCAAAATTACACGACGATATGTGTACTCCGAATAATCCTACGAAAGAACAAAACTACGGTATATGTATGCCCACGCGGCATGAAACAAAGGAGGTGATTGAAGATATAATGTAGTATAGACAGGGTAAAGGGGCAAATATAGTCAGTATTGACGGTACATGTTCTGCATTGCTCATGCTCCGCAGAATCTATAGGTTTGTGACGGCAGCAGAAGGCTTGTTCATATAATCGCCTGAGCTGTAGAATAAAGATACTTTGCGAGAATGAGGCGAGTGGTGGCATTATATTTCTGCGCATAGGCATGTTGGTTGCACCAATCTTGCTACTGGAAATGCTTTCAATAGTAATTCGAGCCAGTATGAGATGTATAAGATAGACCACCCATGTGCGAGTGAGGACTAGCCCGATCGATAGATGAAACGTGAGAGCTAGAATCTTCGTCCTCGGGTACAGAGCGAATAGTGTCTAGCGACAATTTTCCCATGTCCAGGAAACTATCTTCACCCCTATCGGCGGTGGATGGGACCGCCTGTCTCGAATTCGAGGAGCTAAACGTCCTCATACTAGTAGCCGTAGACGGTCTGGAGTAGTTGATGGTCCCCGAGCCGGGTCGACTACTGACGGCGGGTTCTCTATGGCCAAGGCCCAGAGCGTTGGGCGGGGGAGCCTGTTCTACAGGCGAGACCTCTTCATCGCCTATATCTAAGAAACTAGGCTTTCTGACGATAGAACGATGCTTTTGAAGGACCGTCGAAATAGAGGATATGTCTGAATGTGCAGACGGCCTTCTACTGATAGCAGGAGACGACGAGTTATCTTGGCTACCCAGGGACGAATGCTTGTTGGCTTGAGTTTTGATATCGCTCGTTGATCGCAAACTCCGTACACGGGGTCGTGGGGGTGGAGGTAATGACATGACAGAGCTCGCAGGAGAGGATGGCGATGTCACTGACATCGGTTGACTCTTTCTCCCCGATACCGATAACATGGATCCATTCGCCATTCCTCGAGCCGGTGAGCTATGTCCGCCTGGAGAGATATTTGGGCTACTGCTGCTTCCGGGGCGTCGTTCTTGATATTGAGATGCATTCGATATGAATGCGTTGTTAGGGGTAGAGGTTAGGACGGCTAGACTGCCTGAACGATACTGGCGCGACTTTGAGTTTAGTGGAGCCGGCTCCGGTTCAACTCGAGACGTGCTTATACTTCGCTGTGTCCAGTCGGAGGAGGTTCTAAACGGAATTATTCCAAGAGGGTTCTCCGCTATCGGGCTGGCAAGGCGACCTCGTTTGTTAGCGCCGTCCTCCCTATTGAATCCGACCTTTTCAAGTCGCATGATTTCAGCAGGTGGGATGATATACCGTGTTCCTTCAGTAGACGGTATACTACTACTCGACGGGTGTTCTACAAAGGAATGGTCTCCAATGGCCTCATCAAGGGGCGACTTTTGACTGGATGGAGAAGTTGGTAATATGTTGATGGAGCTATTCTGAGTTTTGAGGGATGATGGAATGGCTAAATTTAGGTTAGCCCCCCATTCCTCGTCAGGGATGGCACCACCTCCGCTGTGCATACTATTATCGGAGAGGGCATCATCCATCTCTAGAAGGCTGGTGATCATTGCTCCCGCCTCTCGAGTAGAGTTGTGCGAATTTCTCGCAAAGAAGCGACGCCGTGAGACTTCCTTGTCATCCTTGTGGTTGATGTTCTTGGAATCATGGTTGTTGACGGCCTTTCCCCTGTCTCCGATACTATGTACGGAGGGGACGGTAGGCTCCGTCGCCGCCCTATGCATGACTGGGGGAGAGCCATACAGGCCGGGTATGGGTGGGATAGGCGGTACCATTTGGAAAGACCGGTTCCGTTTAGGCGTCGAGTACGGGGGTGAATTTGATTTAGAGATGGGACTTGATATCGGCGAGTCATTCGATTTGCCAGAGGTCGACGCTGGACTGGAGCCTGTGGCGGACACGGACGCAGACGCAGACCGACCCAACATGCCATCCCTGGGCAATTTCGACTGAGATACACTCTTCTTGAGCATCCTGCCCGAATCTGCACTGCTAGAAACAGCTGGAGATGTCCCAGGACGGTGAGAAGAACCTGTTAGTTTCCTGGTCACCGCGAACAAGTCGAGTTCAAGCTGGTGAAGGTGTTTGTTGAGCGCTTGAGACTGTAGTCGTGGAGAGATAGGCACCGCCGGTAGGGGGAACTTGGGCGGTGATCCAGCAGGCCAAGTCGATTTGGGCACATCCAGCTTAAGTTCATCTTCATCCCGCTCAGCCACATTCCACACCTCGTCAAATTCTGAGCTGTACAGCTGCGGTATGGTGGCTGCCCAAACGTCTGGGGTAGAGCCAGCACGCTGCCGACCGAATCCTCGGCTACTGGAACGAATGGGCAAGGCCTCGGTTGGGAGCTTGTCCTCTTCACTCGGTTGAGGTTGAGGTCGTATGGGTAGAGCTGTCGATGGGGTCGCAGGAAAAGAGTCGATGAGGAGAGGTGTGGACGGCATCGAGGACGCAGCCTCGCTCCGAGCAGAAACGACATGCATTAGGTCGGTGTCCAGAAAGGCGTGAGCATTCTGCGAGAGTCCAGATGGGTACGGAGATCCGTGATTGGAAGGGGGTGGAGAGGGGTATTCGTCCACGGCTGGCGACCTCTCACGCGTGGAAGAAGCAGGAGCGGCAGAAGAAGAAGCGGCTGGATCAGGCTGGAGGACGAGACCATTGGCATGAGCTATCGCTGCCGCTAGCGCTAGGGACTCTGCGCTAGTGGCAGATGCTTGATGGAGAGTTAGAGTTGGCTTGCCGAGGGTGCGCGGACCCGTTCCGCCGCTGATGGCGGGACGTGGAGGAGCAGCGTTATGCTCGCTGTCCACTTCGGAGCCTTCCGTGTTTGTAACGTGAAACATCTCATTAGTTTGAGTGACAATACCGGGTAACCTGGGAAAGTTGGGTTCAATATATCATACATTAGCACGCATTCACACTTCTAGTGCAGTATGGAAACTTGAGAGACCGGGTAAAACTGGCTCACCTTTTTGGTCTGTCGGTATACCGTCTAGGAGATACATCAGAAGAAAGAGTTGGTACAGAATGGTTCGGAGTGAGCTTGTGTGAAGTCACACTGGTCGAAACCGAGTGCACCGGCGAGGCCAAGGGTGCGTTTGCGGCAAAGGGATCGTCCTGCTCCCCGCTCGCAGAAAACGACGGTGGTTCGTACGGTGGTGAGCTACTCGTCGGAGATATCAGCGCATTCGTAGATGGACGTCGTTTGATTCCAAAAAGTGCTCCAAAGCGAATGGGAGTCGACTTGGAAGTTGCCATCCGAATGAACGTCCTCTCGCTCTGCTCTCTGCTTGTCGGTTTGGCAAAGGAGGTGGGGGTGCTATGAGCACGCTAGTCCGCACTGGGAAGCGAAAGGCTTCAACAAGGACAGGAAGCGAAAGGAGTGAGGTTAAAAAGGAAGTTTGTGTCACCCTGGTTGGGTGAAGAGTCGGGTCGGGACCAGTAAGGGGGGGCCAAGAGAAGGACCGAGTTGCACGGTGGTTGACCGAAATGTCGTATGTCTCGAGCTCGAATATGACAGACGCTTTTGGCAAGACAATTGGCAAATTGAAATAGAGGTGAGATGGAATATCTACTAGATGAAGTGAAATAGGAGCAGTCGCATAATTGTGGCGGGTTCCAAGGTGGGTTTTTGGGTCTCAGATCGGTCGATTGGGTCGGTGCCTGTATATGGCAGCTTTGGCCCACTCAGCTTGGCATTTGAACAGAACCATCGGGAAAAGTATAAATTTTTGATACAACAAAACTCCTTCTAGCGTACAGCATGAAACCCCAGTGCCCCATAAACTAGCCAACCGCTTGACGTTAGTAAATTTTTTACTAGCGCAGGGTTGTGTCGTTGGAACGGTAATAAGGTCTATGGCGGGTGACCTTTCACCGACACAATTTCGGGAATACCTTCGAAGCCACGAAAAAAACACTCTTACGGTTTCACACCCGCCGTTGCCGATGGGTCACATCCAGGGAGCATCCGTTTCAGACGCCCAAATAGGGTTAGTGAGATTCCGCCTCGCCATCACTGCTGCTTTTCGTCGTCACCGTTGATTCTGAGGACTTTGACCCACTCTCGATAGTTGAAGTTTCCTTGTCGGTCCGTAAAAGGGCCCTTGAGTAGCCTATCAATCTGCGTCCACATACACAAAAATCAGAACTTGGCCCAGATGAATTTGTGGACGACGAATAAAAGAGAGAGAACCCATCAGCGGCGGGTGATCCGCTGATGTATGTATTATACGACGTACCTCTTCGGGTTCCATCCGTTCTCCCACTTCTGACAACCACCTTCTCATTTCCTCTCCTTTCACAAACCCCGTATCGCCCTCATCGAAACTCTCAAAGGCCTCGATCAGCTCGGTCTCGCCATCGAATTCGAATAGGTGCTCGCCCATCATGGTGAGAAACTCCATAAAGTTGACCCCTTCACCCGACAGATCCGTCTGGCCACCTGGGCGGGAGGATAACAATTCGCGTAGTTTGCCGCTTGATGGAGTGATGCCTGTAGGTGAGTGTGTGCCAAGGCATCAGTTTCAACGACACAATAGACGAGACAAGACCACAATAAAAAGCCACGGAGGATCAAAGCAACTGTCCCTCCATCAAGGGACGATGGGTCCTATTGCGTGTGTAACATCTCAATGGCGTACTGAGAAACGCTCACGGATGATTCGCAGGCAGTAAAGTCGGGTGGCGTGGAGACTTCATCCGGCGGGCAAATAAAGATAGAATCGTATGAGATAACGTACCCAAGCTGGCAAAGATGCGCCTCAGGTCTTCCTCGGACACGACCCCATCGCCATCTTGATCAATGAGGGAAAACGCCTCGCGAAACTGCTGCACCTGGGCGGGCTGGAACAGTGTAAACACACCAGATGGTTCGCGTCTTCCTCGTTTCTTTGCATTTGCGAATTTGGACCCAGGAGGAGGTGAGCTTGGGGTGAGTTGGGACCCGTAGCGCGACATATCGCTGAAAAGGGATGGGTTGGGCTTTGTTACGAGTGGCGGGAACCACACGTAACCCTGAAGCATTACGATATGAATAGAACCATAATTATGCATCCATTTTACAGTGTATAAAACCTAATGATTGGGTTCGCCAATTACACCTGATTGTTAGTGACCCTGTGGCGGGCTACATTCGCCGAATTTTATAGATTTGGCGTTGAAACCGAGGTCGATGAACGAGTTCTGAGAAAGCTCCCGAGCATAACAGTGCACGATATTTTGTTTCTAGGGTCGTCTAACGTAAGCGTAATGAAGAGTGGCAAAAATGAGTGGGATAGTTTAGGGAGACGCGTTGTCCATGTTTGGCCGTAACCGCGACGACGACGAGTGATGGCTGCTGCGAATTCGAGTGCCGTGGGGTCAGATGCACCGTACGAACTTCCATGGTAGAGTATCCAAGTAACCCATCGGTAGCATATCTCATCTTCTAGCCTCTGTGTAGGGTGGAAAAATTCCGTCCCGCCATATTGGACGATATCGTCGGGAATGAAGAGACGGTAGAACGACTCAAGGTCATTGCAAAAGAGGGAAACTGTCCCCACATCATCATCTCGGTGAGTGAATAGCTTTGTGGCAGCGGCGGCTCTAACTTTTTGCATAGGGACTACCGGGTATCGGCAAGACGACGAGCATACATTGTCTGGCGCATCAACTGTTGGGAGCTGCTTACAAGGAGGGTGTATTAGAACTAAACGCTTCGGATGAACGGCAAGTCCTCTTTTGATTACCTTTTCCGACTAACTCGTCCCAGAGGAATCGATGTCGTCCGCAACAAGATCAAGGCGTTTGCCCAGAAAAAAGTGACGCTTCCACCAGGCAGACACAAGTTTGTCATCCTAGATGAAGCAGATAGGCAAGGCGTATGATCTCCTAGTGAACTGTGCTTATGCTGGTTAGTATGACTGCAGGAGCCCAACAAGCTCTCCGCCGCACGATGGAAATCTTTTCCAACACGACACGCTTTGCACTCGCATGCAACCAATCCAACAAAATCATCGAGCCGATCCAAAGTCGTTGTGCGATCCTACGCTATTCCAAGCTCTCGGACGCCCAAGTCATGAAACGACTGCTCGAAATATGCGAAGCGGAGCAGGTACGAGCCTCCACAATCCTTGACCACACGCTAAGCCACGATAGGTCCAATATAACGAAGACGGCATCAAAGCACTCATCTTTACCGCAGAAGGCGACATGCGTCAGGCAATCAACAACCTCCAATCCACCTTCTCTGGATTCGGATTCGTCAACAGCGACAATGTGTTTAAAGTCTGTGACCAACCGCACCCGCTCATCGTCCAGGACCTCGTGCGGTATTGCGTCAAGGGCAACATTGACAAGGCCATGGATCAGCTGAATAGGTTGTGGAATGATGGGTATGCCGCGGTGGATATCGTCGTCACGATCTTTCGTGTCGTCCGTGCTTTTGACGAGTGAGTGCGTTGTATTGGTGTAGAGTGTTGCTCATGTGCAGGTTGCCCGAGTATACAAAACTCGAGTACATCAAGGTGAGTATCAACGCCTTTCAAAGACGTCACTAACTCGAGTAGGAGGTGGGATTCACGCATATGCGAGTGTTAGAAGGCGTAGGCACATTGGTCCAACTAGCCGGACTCATCAGTAGACTCTGTAAAATGGTATGCTCCCCTTCACACTCTCACCCCTACTCACGCCCTCTAGAACATGAAACCCGAACTGTTCAAAGTGTATTAACCTTAATCTTAATCACGAAGCGTTTCAATCAAATAGTACTTTTTCATTAAGCGTAATGTTTCGTATGTGACATGACATCCAATTGGAGCGTAAGAGGACATGAGGTGTCGGTGTAATAGGAATTTAAGGAGTTTAGAGTTAGGAGAAGAAGAGAAAAAAGGTCGCGCCAAGTGATGGATGGCATAATAAACAGCCAAGAGTGAGATGGGAGCCGTATACAGATACAGTTATACAGAGGCTATGGACGAGTCCATAAGGTGTTTTTGCCATAGGTAAGAGAGGAGAGAAGAGGTGTTTAGGGATTCGAGGATTGCTCGGGAGGGAGAGAGAGAGAGAGCGTGGCTCATCATCCGCCTCTGCATCAACAAACAAAACCGTGGTGTTTATACAGTGGGTGTTCAAACTTTCGAATTCCATTTCCAATAATTAGAGGAAAGGCAAATAAACATTTAAATCATCCCGTGTCTCCTTGTTGTTCAAGGGGATGGCGGGGTGACGACAAACTTTGCGGGGCTCATTGAGGGTGAGCGTTGTGCACGGGCTGTCAAGTCCAAATCTTTGACGGCCTCGCTGATCTTGGTCCACAAGGCAGCACGACGAGATTCGTATCGCGAGATGCCACCGACAAACGTGTTGTGCGAGAGACCGCGAGAGGTGAATACGTGCCAGACACCTTTATCGAACGTGCCAATGTGAAGGCCGTTGCAGTCGCCGTCTTGCTTCTTGGGGGTGGTGTCGAGGGAGAGGGAGCCGTGGTGTTGGCAGTGGTGAATGGAACACTCTGAAGGGTGGATCTGAGAAAACATGGGCACGACACCATCGTTTTCCCACAAGTCGTCGCGGAGTTTTTGCTCCCCCTTTACTTTCACCTCTTCCTCCTCGACGACGACGGGCTCGTGTCGAGCTTGTTTCTTGGCGTGTTTCTTCATGGCGAGTAGGCCAGGAGCGACACCTCGTCTTCTCTTGGTCGACGACGACGACGACGACCCCACGACCTCGTCAAAATCAAAGGTGCTCTCTTCGACTGGAGCAGGGGCAGACTCGACGGGAGTAATAGGGGGAGAAGCGACCGACTTGGGAAGCCAATTGGCAGCAATAGACGCGTACCAATCGGTCGACGACCACCGCCTATGATGTCCACGCTTGACACCCTCTTCCTCTTGCTCCTCTCCTTCATCCATCGAAGTCATAGAGACGGCCGAGACTTGTCTGGAATGTGAGTGACGCATAGCTGGCCACGTACATTCTTGCTCGCAGTCTTCTTCCGCGGGTGTGTTGAGGGAGGACGAGGAAGTGCGCGAGTGCCATCCACTCGACCCCGAGCTCGCGCTCAAGTTGGAAGAGTAGGATGTGGATGTAGAGTGGGTGCTGAGGGATGGGCGGGGTTTAGCGGTGGATTCTTGACCGAGCCAGTCGACGCCGAGTGCGGACGAGGGAGAGGTCGCTTCTTCTTCGACGGGTGTGATGGGTTCAGAAGCGCAAATCTCTAATCGTCTCCTCCTCCTGGACACTTTGAGGGTGGTGGAGAGGGTAGGAGTTGGCTTGGCGAGGAGGAACGAGGGAAGGGGAGAGAGGTTGTAGGAGAACGAGCCGACCATCTTGGCCATGATGTACATGAAGATATCCGACTTGAACGACCGATCCGGTCGGTGATGAGCCGACCCTTCTTCCTTAACCGACTGCCACAAACGTTAGAGACAATATAAAGGGAGGGGGAAAATAGTGGATGCTCACAATTGTACCGGTAAAGCTGCAGTAGAATGTACCCGGGTTGAGACCATGATCACCCGCGTCCTCTCTCGCTTGAGCCGCATGACACGTCGAGTCGTACGCTCCCGAATCAATACTATCCGCCCACTCGCTCGTCCTCAAATTGGAAAACAGGGAAACGACCGAATTCTTTAATCCCCTCCACGTCCTCTTCGTGGCCCCCTCCTCCTCTCCCTCTGCGTTGAGAGAGGCAGCGAGGGAGTCGACGGTTGGGAAAGGAGCTGGACGGTGAGGAAGAGAAAAGATGCCGAGGTTGCGTGCGTCCGGTTGGAAATCAAAGGCTTCATAGTCGGGGGAGAGGAGGGGGCCCAAAAAGGACGAAATGTGAATATACTTGGCAATCATGTTTCCAATCTACTCAACGTTAGCGACTATAATATTTTTTTTTTAAAAAAAAAAGAGAGACGCGGACGCACCGAGAAGAGACGCAGGTTCTTGTGGCCTTGGTAGCTGGCGCCGAGGAGGTAGACGGTTGGAGTCCCCTTGAAAGGAGCGGCGACGGAAAAGACGGATCGGACCATATCGGGGTGGAATTCGTCCCCAAAGAATCCGGACCGTAACAGCGAGATGAGTTTGATTACGGTAGGCCCGCCCTACAAGTCCAAAAGCACGTTTTTTATTTTTATTTTTTTTTGATGAACGTGTAGCGCGCAAAGTTCCGAACGGAAGAAAAGATACCCAAAGTGGATTAGTTCCAAAAAGGGATTAGGTCGAGTGGAATTTAGTGGAAGTGGAGGTGGTGCGTGGTGGGATAGGCACCGATGATTGGATAGGATCACCGGCCAATCCCATTCAAAAAGAAGCGCACACACGAGGTTTTCATAAAATCACAGAGAACAGGGAACGGTCAGAAACACTAAACTTTTGATAAGAGTGCATAACGTACGAGAGAGTGGGTTACGAAATGGACGGGATGCTGGGTTGACCAGGTGGGGTGTGAGCCCGTTGGATAGAATCTCCCGTATCGGCCGTGGTTGTGCTCCAGTGCATGCTGTGCACCATAATCAACTATATGAAACGCGTTAGTCATACTATTCGTAATGTGTGGTTAAATGTGATAAGAGGGGAGTGATCGAGTGTATTGGTTAAGGTTTCGACCTTGCGTGCGGCAGGGTTGGATGTGCGGAAAATGAAACGAAAAAAGGGTCGTGCATTAATCTGGAATAATTACTGCGACTCACCTCTGCCACCTTTGAGCGAGTAGAATATTTCGCAGGCTCTGTCGTGTAGACTGCTGCAGGCGCCGACGCTGGAGAATCAAAGAGGTTAGCCACTGCCAATCGCCAACCGAATGCTTTGCAAAATAGAAGGTGGGGCGAGAAGGGAAGAAAAGACGTACGGTGCTATGATGATCTCTCTCTGGTTATCTTCTTGCTTGAAAAACTGCTGAATGTCGCCCCAGTAGGAGGTGGTGTTGCGGGTGAGGAATCCTCCTACGAGGACGATGGGGGCGTTGTCGTTGGATGTCATTGTGGTGGTAGTTGTTGGGAGCGCTGGTCGTCACGATAAAAAGATAAATACAACCCCCAAGAATATAGAACAGGCGGGAGAGGGGAGAGAGAGAAGGGGAGAGGGGGAGTGACGAAGAAGAGACGAGTGACCGGCTAATCGGGAGAGGGGATGATAGTTATATACTGGTTGAGCCCAGGGAGGAGGGAGCCGAACACAGAAGCCGAGACAACGCTGACAGCGAAGACGAGACCATCATCTCATTCCCAGATCTATCAACACATGACCAGCAGTGTTATTACTATTGTAATAGTCATTATTATTATCATTACAGTCATTGCTGGTCATAGTCATTACTACTTGCTGCGCGCCGTAAGCGAAAAAGCGCTCAGCCCGGTGGGTCGCATCAGTCGACCTCTCTCTCCCACGTCTGTCGTCGGCTCAACCAGACGACCAGCCGGATATTGCGTGGCACCTGGATTATACTGCATTCGAACAGGATGTACATTTAGGATATACGATAATTGCGATTATTAATGACATTTAGGCTCTGGTCAATGGGGTGGACGCGCCGTGGCAATAGCCTCAAAAGGCACAGCAGACGAGTGAGCCCATTCTTCTCCCTTGCCCATAAGGGGTCGACAGGGCCCAATCTACAGGTTCAGGGCGTACGACACAAGACATATTTCGGTCGATCACATCCACAGCGTCTGAAAATGAGAAGCACAGATCCTAAGAGAAGCAGGGGAGTGATGCGAGAAGCAAAGCCATCTTCTATCGTCGCTGTCGCCGCCGCCTTCTTCGTCATTGCGGGTAGTAGAATCAAGATTATGCTCGCTCCTGCCTCGGACGTATTCCGGTGTCGCTGTCACGGTGTGTCACGGTGTTCTGTTCTGCCGCAGACGGTGCAGACGTTCTGCCGTAGAGAGGTTGGCGGGCTCGACACGAGGCAGTACGCTGAGCAGAAATGAATTGGCCAGTGTGCCTCAGATTCGAATCATTATGCAAGGCGCCATCCAGCATAATGTCGTCGAATGAGACAGCTATCATAATGAATCTGATGCAAGTGAAACCATCATGCGCGAGGCGAGATAGGCGATGGAGTGCTATGACGCTCATCGTCTAGGTGATCGAGGATACAAGAATCAGAGTTTTCATTTTGAGTTTTATTTATTGCGCGGGCTGGAGGTTGGGGAAGGGTTTGGGGACGTTGGGGGAGATGAAATCTGTCCCTTTGCAGCGAGCCTGAGGTCGTAGAGGGTGCGTCGCTGCTATCTCACGCTCGCTCTTTTCTCGTATCTACTCGACTGTAATTTCTCAAATACCTTGTTTGTGCGCCTTTTCTTACCCTGCGCCACTCGTACACCAGTCGGGCGAACTCTCTTCGTTCGTTCGTTCGCTTCGTTAATAATTCGACACTCTTAAACTCCACTTTCGTATTGCTGTTCCTGAGAACGGAAAAGGAGACGGTGGTGAACGCCGTGACCTCCTTGACCTCCACTTTATCCGTGCGCTGCATCCTGTATCGCCGCTTTCCCTGCCCTCCTGTCACTTATCTATATCCCATGGATATAGTATTGGGCAAATCGCGGACGATAGGGTTGCAGGCTTGAGGAATGGTGGTTGTTGGCATCTAAAACTTCTACTCTGCGTCTCTTCTCTTGGTGTCGCTACTATGAGCAAGATGAACGTGGTCTTTACCTAATCAGCGTCTCAGAGAGACGAGGAGTTGAATCTCTGAAAAGTTATTAATCATTGTCGTGTTTAATGGCGGGAACTACATCATCGATGCAAAGATCCCTTCATTGAACGATCCGCTTGTGATGGGCTCTGCATGACATCAACTCGAGATTATTTCTCCTTGTGCTGACGTTCCTCAGAGCGGAGAATAAGACGGTGGTGAACGGCCTCATCTTCCTTGACCTCCACTTTTGTGCATCGCGTCCTGTATCGCCGCCTTTCCCAGCCCTCTTGTCGCTCCTCTATATCCTGTGGATATAGTATCAAGGTTGATAAAAGGAATGGTGATTCAATCCGACTCTTATGCTGTGGGTGTATTTTTAAAATTATTGACGAACCAAGTCTTCAACGTACTCCTGGTTTGGAATGTTTTTTATATGGATGCCGTGCTCTGGCCATCTTGTCCATTCCATAGGAATGACGTCGCAAATCCCTACTTTCTCTCTAACCGTGGTCCTTCATCTAACCAGGACTTTGGATACGAACAGGAGGGGTACAATCCGATCAAGTGTCCACTGGGATACTCAGGCGCTCAAATTCGCCATCCCCTCCTCACCGTTTGTCAATGCTTAACATGGTGTATCGTGATTTATCACTAGAGATCAACGTGTCGGCTACTTGTAGCCTCTACCAAACAGTAATGGGCCGCTGACTTTAGTTTCCGGGCTGGTATCGAAAGGCTTTATCGCAGAGCAGGTCTGGGATACTCGGTCGAACCTCATGGTCGAATCAAGTTCTTACTTGTCCTCAAGGCGACATCCAATCTGTTGATTTTCTTCCACTGAGGTTCGATAACTCATCCCAATGGCCTCTCCGTAACTAACAGCTTCCTTTGGTTGGGTTCTGTCTGAATATATCCTCTCGCTCAACTAGTCTACAGATGGCCTTGTGAGCGAATCGAGATATCTCTTTATCGTATATTTGGTCGACCGCAGATGACCACTTGGCCCCCCTTAATACAAAGGGTGCCTTGCTTGGATAAAGTACACACACTTTTCCTATCTAAAACTGTCCTACATGGGAGGTAGACTTGCCAGGTCAACTTTGACGGCAACAATATCAGAGTGCTCGATCAGTAGCCTGCGGCCTGTATTGCTTTCTGGAGAAAGGCATATGAATTTCGGTTCTAAAGATACTAATTTCCACATATTTCTGATATAATGCGCCATACGACATCGACATCGTGGCATAATGCGTCCTAGATGCCCCTGTCAGCTGGTCCCCTCCCCAGCGCTTACGCTCAAGACAGCTACAGTGCAACTTGTTCGATCAGAAACGAGGAAATGGAGTAGAGATCGTATAAATTGCAGGCCACATGACACAGAAGACGGTCAAGGCTGGCTAATATAAGTACGGTGCACGGCCCGCTTCCTCGGGAGACTGTTCAATCAGATTACAAATTACGCAAGAGTAAAGCCGGCGTCTCCTCATTATAGGAACCGATAATGAAGGGGCATATGTCCGGGTAAGCGCGCCACCACAACCATGTCATAGGTTGCTAAATACATTACTGGATCTTGCTTTAGATTATTTATCATAGTATCTCAGGCCCGTTGAGGGGCTTTATGCGTGCCTTGGAACAGGGTGGCTACGATCGTCCCGCACGCTGCGAATACCTCGCAAAAATCCCCAGCCTCCACTCATGACAAAAGCCAAATTACTCAGCACCTTGACAACTTTTTCTCGATCACAGCATTTGTATCCTGGTAGTCACTCGCCCATATGCGTTGCTTATCTCACCTATTCACCGACTCTACCTACCCTGACAAGTGACTTGTCCAAGTTTCTGCGCTTTAAAGTTCCGATTTGTCAAGAGAATTTCCGTTGCGAAAGGAATGACACGACGGTACCGAATTTTGATGGCAGACGGGTAACCCCCTCAAGTGACACATACCCGAGGCCGTGTGTAGAGAGAGTGATATATATAATGAAAGAGAATTAGTTCTCGGACTACAACTGGTTTGAGCAATGGCAACCCGCCCTCTCCAATGTCTGGCCACGACATGGTCACTACTCTTACTTATGGCCAAAGTTGGCCGAGTCGCAGCCATAACGACATGCGAAACCCACGGATATATCAGGACCTGCAAGACTTGGACGGTCAATGTTCCGGCTGTCGTTACAGTCGTGGTTTTAATCGGTGAGTGGTCTTCTTGACCGCTTCAAAAAAGACTTTTTGCTGACATGTACATCAAGTTGTCTGTTGTATCATCTCTGCCGCAGTGGCG